CCTGAAAGTTTTTAACCGACTTGTTGCAGCTTTTCTTTTAATTCAAACTAATTGGGATTTGTGTCATTATTTATATCTCACATCTGCAAGGCAAAACATTTATCCTTCTTATTTTCTTCACCGGTCTGATTGAAATATTCAAAATACTGTGCATAAAAAGTCAGATTATCAGCTGATTCAGAACTACTCAAAGCCAATTTTTCTTTATTCTAACCCTCTTTGTGTGTATTAGTTGGAACGTAAAGCTAATATCAGCATTAGAGTTGCTCCCCTGCCTCTTGATTAGCTGATTAGATAATTCTATGTTTATATATCGGTACCTAATAAAATTACCAGTTAGTGCAAGTATTATGTACACACTATAATTTGACTGGAAATATGGTATAAATGCAAACAAGATATTTAAAGAGCCTGTGATGCCCATATCCTTCTAATAAAAAAAGTCAAAGAAAACATTGTTAAATTTAAGAAAATTGACAAAATACACATGATTTTACAGTTTGTCACATAACTGGTAGACTTTCTTTTAAATTTGGCTCGGCCAAAGTGAAACAGGAAGTGACTTCAAAGGAGAACTCWAGGAAAAAGAACTTCCTGGTCTTTTTTTTAAATGAAATAAGATTATTTGAACTCTGACTCTACTTCATCTCTCTCTGATATTGATCCAAAATAATCTAAAAAAACGTCAGGATCCTCTCTAAACTGTGTTGTCCGCCATTGCAGRAATTGCCTATGTGCCACGGACTTCCGATTCTAGCACTTCCGCATTCCTTTGTCACGCATCGGTCTTTGGGTTCGCAGGCAACACTGTGTTAGTGAAAGATTTTTTCACCCGACAACGACTCTTCATGACCTCCACAGTACAGAATTAGCATATTACATGTACCAACATTAACACAGGAGACTTACAGGTCCAGCCAAGTGGGAAAAAAAATCACTCCAAAGTGGATTAAAGCCATAAAAACAAAGGAAAGACATTTGTGTTTATGATTCCAGAATTTATCTTTTTTCGCCAATCCGTGGCTGCTTGTTCTGTGATTTTTTTTCACGTAGAGCTGTGACACTTATGTTGTTGGAAAGAGCAGAGTCTGGGCATTAAATTGATGGGCTTCTTGTATGGTTTGGATCGTTTTCCCCGACATTAGTGAACTGAAAACGTAATGATTATCAGGCGGAGGTTCTGCGGCTCTCGGTGGGGCTCGTCGCTCGTGTTTTGTTTTACGCTGTAATATACTCTAACAAGTTTTTACTTTTGCATAAAACTCATGACAAAGTTGCCTAAAAACATTTCTGTATAACACACACACACACACGTGCACACCTGGTACCTTTGTACCAGCTGCTGTGCTAGCTTCCTGCTAGCTGTCGTCTGGAGATGGTCTTTCCTCTCTCATCTTGGCAGTAAAAGGGGATAATTGTACATATCCCTTTTGTAACCTCCGTCTTCTCATTTCTAATGCTGGCTCTTGAATATCCTCAGGTTAGAAATTCCGATTACAAACGCGAGCGTGAGCTTTTATAGCTAAGTTTYCCCTGYAATGCTATGATCCACTACTGTCACCTCCTCATCAAGAGGAAAATGGATAAAAACTAACTAYTYGATCGTACMTGCTGGTTAGTGGACACAACGGCACACAACTGCCATCGTTATGCTTTGCAACAATAAGKTTGTGAAGGTCTTGAGAGAGCTCTTTACTTTTACCCATCATCAGATGGTTCTTGTGTGATACCTGGCCATCATTTGGGACTGAACCAGCTGATATTAACTTGCACTGACAAGGGGCAGGCTTGCTTTCTAATTACTGAGAGAATTCAGCTGGTGTCTTGGCTTTCCATGCCTTTTTTCACCTCCCTTTCTTCATGTGTTCAATACTTTTTCCCTGTGCCATTCCACATTATTACAAATAACTTCATTTCTGGACATTTATGGTTTGATTTCTTTGTATGTATGGATCACTTGGGTTGTTACCGACAACTGGTGGAAATGTCATGTCATTAGCACCTCTAGTAATATATTTACTGAGAAAAATGGTGACATGTTCAATACTTATTTTACCCACTGTAAAAGTCACAAATTTATCTTTAGCTTTTTTTTGAATGGTTTAGAGTTTGAAAAGTAAGTATTGGACGGTAGATTTCTGCAAGAAGTATCAACTGGAGGAGGTGCCGCTGTCAGATTTGCAGATGARTGTCTACGAAGGTGCAAACTTTTAGTATTGATTGATATCTGCCTTAGAGGAAGGTGGGGTAGGGATTAAGGGAGTACAGCTTGATAACAAGTGGAAAGAGGKAGCTAAATGAAGGGGTGAAAGGAAGGTAAGGTACAAACAGAATTAAAAATGAAAGAAGTGAGTGAAGAGACCAAGTGCTGACATAAAAGAGGGGGAAAAAGAAATGATGGTGAAAGAGGTGAAAGCAAAGGGAGAGAACTGAAGGAAAGGGTAAGCCTCTGTAGGTAGCAGTAATTAGAGCAAGGCTTGTCCCTCGTGTGACAAATATACACACAAACACACACACACACGTGCACCGGTAATGCACACAGATGATTGGAGCCCTTCATTGCCCATTGAGTCCCTCTCCGTGGGAGGTAAATAGGCTTTACCCCCCAGTCCACATTAGGCATTTCAAAGAAACCTATTACCCGAGTGTTCAAAGAGCACTTTTATTTTTATTAAACCTAAAACAACAAGCCAGTCTGACTATAATACAGCACAGTCTTCTCGTAAATAATGCATAAGCAGGTGCAGTGATACTTCAAAAATATCAACAATATTACACAGCAGATTTGTAGACAGAAGGATAATTCATCAATAAATTCACCAGATAAATAAAACATAAGCTGAGTTATAAGGTCACAGTTGGCGTGTTGGAGATATTAACTATTTAGCAGGTTTGACTGGCTCAATTTGCCATGTCCTACTCGCTGCATAGCTGTGCTGTAAAGTTTAATGAGCTTATGCTGTTTTGGTATATATATATATATATATATATAGGTATTTTACGGTACCCTTATTACCATGTAATTACAAGGTAATGAAAAATGTAAATAAATGGTAATTACTACCTTATTACGTGTAATTATGTGGTAATTATGGTACAGTTTTACCATGTAATTAATCGTCTGCAGTAATGTAGCACTTACCTGGTAATGTATCACAATTCACTATGTAACACCTAAATAAGTAGTAGGTAATTTGGACAGTTTTAAAGTTATATTTTTATTGCAATTAAACACTAACCCCAAAATTTAGTTGCATTCTTTTGGTTATAAATATAGTGTTGAGTTACTATTGAATAGTAATTTGATTGTAGTTACCCAATAAAGGTAATTTTACTAACAGTAGTGTTTCTTTTGCACCGTAATTACCACGTAATTACATGTAATAAGGTAGTATTTACTATTTAATTACTTTTTTATTACCTTGTAATTACATGGTAGTAAGGGTACCATAAAAGAAAGTGTTACCTATGTATATATTTTTTAAATCAACATTTAGGAATAAAATGAATTATTCTGTTTTTTATTTGTAAATAGCTGAATAGATGAAGTGTTGATCAGGTAGGGGCAGGATTGTCAACCCAAGGTTTTAAATAGTGGCACAAGATTGTGATTAGATATGATTAGTTTAATTGGACAAAAAAAAAAGAACTGTCGATTAAATCAGGTTTAATAATATTAAATTTCTACTGATGGCAGATGCATGTGCGTCTCYATATGTGGACCTTCTCCAGTTAATACCTTGAGTACTGCAGCTAATGCAGCCTACACACGAACAGTATTGATTGGTGTGGTTTGATTGTTATTATGCGGCCACTTTAAACATTCCTTTTAGCCTCTTATGTATAAGTCATCTATTAATTTAGGCTACAAGGAGCTTTCTTATTGTGCAATCAGTTTGCATTTATTGTTCCTCTGTTTAATTTGATGGATTGCCTGTGTGCGTTTGTGCACCTCAGACTTTGGAAAGTTGTAAGTCTCTATTAGTGGAAATAACTACTGAAAGGACCGGAGCTATTGAGAATCTCCAGTTTAAACGTGGCTTGAGTTTCAAGTTTGCTTTAAAAGTATTTGTTCTTAATTTGTTTGTTTTCTTAAAACTATAAGTAAAGGGTTGACAAGAAGGGGACATGATTGATGCCAATGTAATTGAAAAAACAACACTGATCGCTCTTATGCYTAACCTTATACAGTGGGTTTATCTGTGTTCACGTCACTGTTTGCAAAACTATGGCACAATTTATGTTTTTTATACACATTGTTTCCATCTAACTCTATGTATCAGATGTAAACTGATAATATATCCACACATAATTTATATTTTTTGTAAATTTTGTCCTGGACATCCTTTGCAATGTTCTGTAGGGCTGAGAATCTGCACCAGCATACGGTCCTTTCCCCCCATATGTGACCCATCATGTCGAAATGAGGATTAAATCAAATTTGGTCAAAATTATCTAATTACATTTTCAAATTCCTGGCTTTAAAAGCTACATTTTGATACCTGGATCATTCTGATATCTTAAATGGRTTTAGAGATATGACTTAATTTGCCTTGTTCATTACAAAAATACATTACTGTTTGGTCTGAAYACTAATTTTGTGTAAATTTACTGAGTAATTTTTTTATGTCAACATAAAGAGGAAGCCTCGAATAGTATTTGTATATTAAGATTTCCCAGTTGGAAAGAAGCAAAAACTGTGCTAGCTCACATGGAAAAATTGTAAATTTTAAGGTGTTTTTCCTCAAAATCTGTTTTTTTTTTTGTTTGTTGCTATTGCTCAAAAAATGCTTCAAAAAATTATTTTAGGATTATATTTCAGAGAGTTCTTTCAAGTGATACCTTGAGAAGGCATTATTAATTCATTGCATTTTGACAAAATTCAATTTTTGCACATGTTTTAATCAAAACCCTATATCTGCCCATTTCTCCTTATTCCACTTTTGGACACATATTACTGATCACATTGTTTGTAATTGTGACCTTTTTTTTCTCTTTAGATTTGGAAAGAAAAAGGAGGAGAAGAAAGAGGCAAAGGCAGCACTGCAGCGACAAAAGTCAGACATTCTGACGGACCTGGAGCTGGAGAGGATGAAAGAGGAAAGAGAGAGGTGGGAACTTCTTGAAAAGAAGACGATGAGTCTTTTCTTTTATGTATACATTTTAAAAATGCATTTTTGTTTGACAAAAAGTTGAAAAAAATTGTTTTCTTTAGCTTACTATTATTATTATTTTCAGTGTCTGCCATTTTTTCTTTTATTGTCTTTTTTTTATATATTGTATTCATGTACGTGCTGGTCAATTATGTGAATCTTTTTCAAAAAAAAGGTGCACGAAAGTCCAGCTTCAGAGGCTAACTGGTTCTGTTTCTCCTTCAGGATTGAAGCAGGACATCCTGAGCTGCGAGAGCAACAAAGAGATCGGCAGGCGGGCAGCGGTGGATCAGCATATCCAGACTTGGAGGATGACGATGCAGACCCCAACTATGCCCAAATCCAGTCGTTCAGGGCCCAGGAGACCGGTTCAGTGCAGCAGCCTCAGCCCCCCCTCTACAGCACAGTTCAGCGCTTTCATGCCCGCACACCTTCACCACAAGGTCCCTCTGGCTTCCCAGGACAAGGAAAGAATGTTAATGAGCCTGGAGTCATGCCAGATGATGACCCTCTTGATAGGCTGTACGCCAAAGTGAACAAACCGAGGGGAGCTGGAGCTACATCTCCTGCTCCTGCACCTGCTAATGACAGGTAGGGTTCAATACTTTTATCAGTGTAGTTAAAGCCTGGAAGGTACTTCAGTCTTGTTTTAGAGCTCACAAAGCTTRCAAGGTGTATTTTGGGAAACTTGTAAAAAACATTTTCTGGTTTTCTCAGCTAACTTCGAAGAAGTTGGCACTTTATATTTGCTAAGATCAGTTTTGTATGTGTTATATTATCACTCAACTGAGTTGCAGTTCCACATTTCGATTTGAATTTAAAGCTTTATTCTTTTCATTAAATTGCATTGGAATGAATGGAATTGAATCAAATTAACTGGACTGGATATAAATGAACTTGAAGTGGACACGTTAGCATTTCTGTTTCCTTAGATCAGGGGTCTGCAACCTTTACAATCAAAAGAGCCATTTCTGCTCCTCGGCTCACTAATGAAATATGTCTGGAGCCACAAAATAAGCTACAACTGTGATTATCAACTGGTGGTCCGTGGGCCTTTTCAAGGCCTTTTCGTGAACGTTTATGGCCAGTGGAGGTGACATAAACCTAAAAAATATATTGTGATTTTTATTATTTATCATTATTTTTACACTTCAAGATTGAAGAAAAAAAGTTATAGTTTATAGCTATAGTTTATACAGAATTTCATAAAAACTAGTACAGCTGAACTAGTCAAACATGTTTTTTCCTAATTCTTATTATATAGTCCTAAAGGTGTTTAAAGGTAACCCTGATGGATTTGAGAGAATGATTATAGAAAGAAGTTGGATTATTTAGATAGAAAACAGGCTAGCATAAGCTAACATATTTTACTTTTTGTATTAGTATTTTTGTATTGGTAGTATTGATTACATGTTTGCATAAAATTTATTAGTGTTGTGAGTATAAAAACCAAAAAAAAAAAAAAATTCTGTTATGTTTGGTCACATTTTCAAAGAGGCCCTGCAGAGGGACCAAGGGGCCACATGTGGCCCCAGAGCCGCAGGTTGCAGACCCCTGCCTTAGGTGATTTATGTGCTAAAAGCTAAAAGAACTGAATCTTTTCCACAACCCAGCCTGTTACAGCACAGCATCAGTAGATAAAAGTGGTTGTCACGTCACATTTGTCACAAACTGCTTGTAGAAAAAATGAATATTCACATCAAAGTTCCCAAAACTCCCAATTCCCATTTAAACCCCATTTTCTGTCCTTTTCTGTCTCCCGTTGCTCCACTTTCACACTGTAACACGATCTTGCTGATGTTTCATATTTTCTTTTTCCCTTTTTTTTTTACCCTTTCCTGTCAAATCATGGTTGTCTTGCCTCAGGCCACCGTGTGTCTGCGGGTGCGTTTTATAGAACAATAGAGACGGAGACAGGCGAAAAAGAGAAGAGTGAATTGTTTGCGCTCGCTTTAAGCTTCAKTATGAGTGCTTGTGTACTGAAGTGTCCACTGACGCACACAAACACACAGCTTCCTCCTCCCTTACCTTTACAACGTCAGTCACAGCTCACTAACTCCAGAATATATCTCCCAGTGCAGATATTTTCTCTCACAACCACATACATCCATCTACCTTATTCTGTACCTGTCGTAAAAGTGAGGAGGGAAACCTTTTTTGATGGACAGCTCCTGGCTTCATAAAGATGTTTCCAAATGCAGCCTGTCTTATGTTGTTTTCTTTATGCAAAATAGTATATATTCAAAACGTCTTGGCCCTGGATTATAGTAAAGGTTTATTTTAGATTGTTTTAAAGTGGAAACTTTTTCAAAGATTAGTGCCGTGCTAAATGTGGTGATGAAGCTCCACTTTTGATCAGACAAAGAAAAGTAAATGCAATTTTATATATTTTTTTTCTTTCTTTTTTTACACAAAACAGTCTGAACCTAAGGTTACTGTCAGTGCATTGTTTGAGTAAATTTTACAACTAAACAGTTAACACTACTCCRTGTTTCGCACTCGCGTCTTGTAATTCTGATGTCCTAGTGCAGTGGTTCCCAAACTTTGGATCTTCTGACCCACAAAATRYCCATGGCAAAAACTTGTGACCCCAACTGGTCTGAGTACACAAACTTGGTGAATAACCCTAAAAACACAGGCTTTTTGACAATCTAAACAGCTTGTACACAAATATAAATACTTATTTATACTTATTTTGTATTTTTGTAATAATTATAGGGAAAATATTATTAGGGGTGTCCCGATACCAGTTTTTTCAAGACTGAGTACAAATACGAGTACTTGAGTTTGGG